TGGAAGTGAACTCGTTACTTGTATCAAAGATGTCAAACTAATATGATAAGATTGATAACTAAGTTGAGCACGAAGCTCCTATCTAATGGCAGACGTGCCAGTCTTATATAGAACCTTCGTTCCCTGATTGATCGCTCTAGTCGCTCGCCCTGATCGCTTCAGTCGACCGGCGACTCAGGCGACTCAGGCGACTAGATCACGTGATTTTCTTAACCAGAAGAAATCCCTGGATCGCTTAGCTAGTCTAACTGATCCCTTTTTTTTGCTATAAGTCCATGGATGTGCTTAATCTGTCAGGACGCCGCCTGGGCTTCCTTTGTCACATGCATTGCTACACGTGATTCGTGACACCCACTGCCAAACAGGTTTCTACTTTTCCACACTTTCTTGTTTTGTTCTTCTGACATCATGTATTCGTCATTCAAGTTTCTTGGAATATTCAGGAAGCTCTTCCTCTCTATATATAGAGGAAGAGCTCGCATGTATGTAGTCTTCACGCACTTCTTAATTGAATATTCGAAACCACACCTTTGAGCTATTCGAGGTCTGGCCTCTCACACCTCGCTATCGATATATCCTTACTATGATATCCTTACTATCGTATTCTTACTATCGTATCCTTACTATCGGATAGGGTTATACCCTAGTATATTATTGAAAGAGAGAGAGAGAGAGAGAGAGAGAGAGAGGCGGGGAAATAGTTTAGTTATATACGTCGCTTATCCTTAGCCCTAAATACTACATTCCTAAAACGGCTAGGCTAGTACGTGTTACACTAATAATTATTTACTACCTAACTCCGCGCCTCTTACTCTTCCCTACTCTCTCTTCTCTTTTCCTTATAATAGTAATAATAAGAATATAATAATAAGGACGTAATAGTAAGGATATAGTAATAAAGATACGATAGTAAGTATAGATAATAGTAAGTGTAGAAAGGTAGTAAGGGTATATAGGTAAAAATAACTAGGCACGTGAAGTCTAAGGATAGAGGCGGGTAGAGTTAAAGGAGCGTTTAAGTTAAATTTAAGCTTAATTATTATAAAACAATTAGTGTTACGGAGTTGGAGGAACTAGGGGTTGATCACGTGTAGCGCAGCATGTAGTATGTGTCACGTGCGCGCTGCTGGCATCCTGTATTTAAGCTCTCGTTCCTCTGGAACTCTCTTCCTTCCTCACTTTGTTGTTCGCTCAATACAGCAGTTTCCGTTTGACTCCGTATTCATCACAGCAAGCAG